ATATATATATAAGCCATAAATCTTATAAAAGAGTTAGTAACATACGAACCAGTTATAACCGTCTCTCTATCTCTCTCTCTCTCTCTCTCTCTCTCTCTCTCTCTCTCTCTCTCTATATATATATAAGTATATATAGAGAGAGAGAGAGAGAGAACTAGTGGAAAGACCAAATTAAGAATGTTGATTTACGAAAAAGGTTGAATGAGGACAATGAAACGAGTATTACACATCAACTCTAATTTCTATATTAGCGGAGTGGAATAAAAATAAGACGGTATTCGTTGTGAAGTCATTGATCAATATGAAATTGTTAGGAGTTCAAGTTGGTAATTTGTTGGCTTTGGTTGTAAAAATTTAAAAACACATATTTTTGACAATTGGTGTTTATAGAGAAGATTAGAAGTGATTTTAGTTGCTTGATTACTTCGAATATGGAATGTTTTTATTGATGGAAATTAGATTTTGGCAAGATAATTTCAGTGAATAATTGAGAGAATTATTTAAGGTCGGCCCGGCCCAAGCCTGTGAAACGGCCCACGAAGAAGCCTATTTCATTTGGTCCAGTGGGCCCTTCGCAGGCCCAACATTCGGCACGTGACGGGCCTCTCGTTTGGCCCGTCACGTGCCGCACGTTGGGCCCGCGAAGGGCCCAGCGGAAAAAAACTGAATTTCAACCCTAAAATCCCCTATAAATACCCATTAATTCCACCATAAATCCCACACAACAATTCACTCTCATCTTCTCATCTCACTCTCATTCTATCTCTCAACTTGTCTCTTTGATTTTGATTCTAAGCTTTTTTCTCGCGTTCATTCATTTTCTAGCTCTTTCATTTACAAAGTTCTATCAATTTCCAGAAAATGGCCTCACCAAACTTCCATGATTTCACTGCTCTTCCTGAGCTTGGTAAGGAGACATTTTTTGAGGAAGAAATGATGCCTTCCAACCCCACCCCCACTGAACCAGAAAATGCTCCGGTGGATAATGCTTCAGTATACAACGAGGAAGCTGGAGAACGCAGCAGAGGAAAAAGACCGCGAACTTCTCCGGCATGGCAGCATTTCACCGAGGAGTCCCGACCAAATCCAAAAACAGGTGAGATGAAAATTCGTGCGATATGTAAATATTGTAAAAAGCACTTTTCTAATAAAGATGGTGGGGGTACTGGTCATCTGGATAGACATTGAAAAGTATGTCTACCGTTGCACCAAGGTGGGAGTGTGGACTCCCGCTAACAAACACTATCACTCACATCACATGAGTTACAAAATTTTACATACGATGCACAACGTGCTCGTGAGGCACTAGCTAAATTTCTAGCTAGTGCCGAATTGTCTCTTTCTTTTGCAGATGATGCCTCCTTCGAAGAATTCATCCAGACAGCCTTTTACCCACAATTTAAATGGGTAAGTAGAAACACAACTCGTTCTGATTGCATGAAAGTTTTTTATGCAATGAGACAATCTCTTTTTGATAATTTTAGGGCTTTTAATGCTACTGTGTCTTGTACTTCTGATCTGTGGGAGGGGTGTAATAAAACTGGATATTTATGTGTCACAGTGCACTACGTTGATGACGATTGGGTTTTACAAAAAGAATAATTGGTTTTCATTTATGTCCATATCATCATAACACAACAGCTATTTTTAGTACAATAAAGAAAATTTTTGGGTTTTATGGGATAGAAGATAAAGTTTTAACAATTACTTTTGATAATGCGTCAGCTAATACAGCTGCAATTAATCTGTTTAAACATAGTTTGAAACCTTCATTTGGAGGGGAAATTTTTCATCAACGGTGTGCATGTCACATAATTAATTTAGTAGTTCAGGCATGAATTGAACATATCTCTGCTAATCTTACAAATATTAGAGAATCATTATCCTTCATATCTAGTTTTGGAGCTCGGCTCCAAGAATTCAAACAATATTGCAGGAACAGCCAGATGCGCCCAAGAAAGTTTCCAACTGACGTGAGACATAGGTGGAATTCAACATATTTAATGTTGAAGGCAGCACTCCCATATTCACAGCTTATCACGACATACGTAAACAACAAGAACGATCAAATTATAATTTTCGATCCTGATTGGCAGATTGCTGAGTATTTTTTTAAATTTTTAGAAGTTTCTTACAATACTACTGAATTACTTTCTGGAGGTTATTATCCTACTGCACATTTAGCATTCCATCAACTATTTAATACGTCAGAAATATTTTCTTATTATAGGGCTACACAACTTTCTAGAAATATAGTTAACTTAATGGAAAATAAATTTAAAAGTTATTGGTCAGGTTGTCCTATGTTATATGCATTGGCAACCATTTTAGATCCCAGGTGCGGAGTAGATGGAACTGAATCATTGATGACTGCTACCGCAGAGAATTTAAAAATAGATATGCAACTAAGTATTACTGACGCTAAGAAAATGTTAGAAAAAGTTTTTAGTTTGCATGAAGCAAAATATAGATCGTCCTCAACACAAGCGTCTACAGAACTAGTCAAATATTTTGAAGCAAATTTTGTAATCGGTGACGACAAACTAGACATCTCACAGTGGTGGAAGAGCAAGATAGATCATTTTCTAACACTGTCCATAATAGCTCGTGACATTCTAACAACTCCAGTATCAACGGTAGCATCGGAGCAAGCTTTTAGCGCAAGCAACCGAATTCTTGACGAGAAGAGAAGCAGAATGCATCCAGATATCTTGGAGGGACTAATGTGCATTAAAGACTGGAAAGATGCCAGAAGACGAAAACAACAATACACAAATGATTTGGTGCAAGAATATTTTTCTAACTTAGAAATAACAGAATCTTCTGGAAGCACTTAGGTTTGTAATTTACTATTCCTAGCTACTGCACTCTTTTTTCCTTCGCTAAGGTTTTGTCCTAATCTCCCCACGGGTTTTACTTAGCAAGGTTTTTAACGAGGCAGTCATTTATGTGTACTCCTATTACGTCAATTCAATAAAATCACATCTTTTAGGGCATATGATATTTTTTTTAATTAAATTTAAAAAAAAATACAAGGGCCGGGGCCGGCCCGTGAAGGGCCTGGGCTTAGGCCCGGCCCTGGCCCTTATGGACTAGGCCAAGGGCCTGGACCGGGCCTGAGTTTTTCTTCTCAGGCCCGGCCCAGGCACGGCCCTGCACTGTGCAGGGCTGTGCCTGGCACGGCCCAGGCTCGTGATGGGCCTGGGGTCAAGCATGCCGTGCCAGCCCGGCACGGCACGTTTGACATCTCTAAATCAAAGGATACATTTGGGGCATGGTTTTTATAGAAGAAATATTCAAAAAAAGTCTATCTGAGAGTGAACCTTTAACTGTTAAATATTCAAATAATCATGCAGTTTGAAGACGAGTGGTGCTCGCTGGATAAGACCATTAAAGAGATTCGATACGACGGCGACAACGTCAATGAGGGATTCTTTGAGTGTATAAGTCTGATAGGTGTCTGTAATTCCTTAGAACTTATTGAATTGTTCACTGTCTGCACGTGGCCTCCCAGATATAGGTTGTTGAACCGAACTGTGATATTATTTTTTTGTGCCCTTTAATTTTCCTGCATTATTTCCTGCTTGATTTCTTTAAAGTCTCTGAGCATAATCGTTAGAGTCAATTATTAGTGTTACAGAAAAGTGTTATAACACTTTTTGAAAAACCTGCGTAAAAAACAACAGGCCTTTTAGAAAGGACAGTAAAATCAAATTTATTGATCAATATGAAACGACAATAAAATCAGATTTATTGATGAATATGAAATCAAATTTCTCATTACATGCATGATGCATATATTACATCATGCTTCCAAGACAGGCGTATATTTTGAAAGTGATGAGATGCACGAGTAGAAACTAGTTTTATAGAGAGTAATTTTTTTTATCTAGAAAATAGATATAGTTTGACTAGGGATATATTGACTAGTGCAACTTCTCATGCTTCAAGGCATGCGTATATATATAGGACTAGAAATTTCGTTTGTCTTGGGAATATATTGACGGGTGCAAATTCTCAGTTTGAATTGCTCCTCACATGACGTGAGTAAGGAATTTGTCATTTTTTTTTCATGTTATTTTGCTCTTCCAGGTGCTTTGAGTTGAATTATATTATTTAGTCTCAAGAGTCTAGAAACAAAGATTTGGTATCTTTTCATGTATTGATCAAATTGGTGATCTACATGGCTAGAAAAGTAGAATTATTGAGCCGCAATGTTTATAATCCAGCTGGCGATAAACTTCGAGAAAATTACCGGAATAACTATTGTTTTCAATCATATCTTATTATTTATACAATTAAAACATATTTTGATTGAATATGAAATATATTTTACATTCTGGTAAAATATGAAAAATATCCTGTAAAAAAAAATATTTTAATGTAATATAATAGATGTCCTATCAGAATATTAATGACATAAATGATAAATTTAAAATTGATGGTAGAAATAAAATAGTGTTATCATTTTTATGTAATTCTTAGAAATTCATCTAAAAGTTATATAAAATGTTAAAAAGGAAAATTAAAGAAGAAGTTTGATTAAAACAAATTAAGGTGGGAAAAAAGAAGTCGGTACTCTTTTTCTAGTTTTAAGGGTTAAAAAAAAAAAAAACAGAGATATTAATAACTAGAAAGTTAACCGATAAAGTGTAATATTTAGGGGAAAAAAATTAAACTTACTCGAAAGTACTATCAGAAAATTTAAGAAAACTGTTTCTATTCATGTATTGTGTTAGAATCTCAAATGAATATAATATATGTTGACAATAATTTGGATATTTCATTTTGGGTTACGAAAAAGTACTAGTGTGAATACAAGAACGAAAGAAAATGATGTATGAACGAAAGAAATTGACGAATTGGAGGCTATAAAAAGTCATGGGCTCTAGTCTCTCCCGTCTCGTTTCATCAAGAAGTTTATGATATAAAGCAACAAAATCCATGGAATTTTCCAAGTGAAGAAATTTGAAAACAATAGAGCTGAGATATCATAAAAAAAAGGCTAATTAATTCCATGGCGGCCGGAGATGATTCGGTTCGGTCTCTCGAGCATACTCCGACGTGGGCCGTCGCCGTAGTTTGCTTCATCATCATCTCCATCTCTATTACCATGGAGCACTCAATTCATCTCCTTGCCAACGTATAAGCTACCTCTTATATATTCTTCTTCATGGGTTTGTTATAATTTGTTAATTTTTTTTTTTATTTTTTATTTTTTATGCATGCTAATTTGTTTGCAGTGGTTCAAGAAGCGCAACAAAACTGCTTTGTTTGGTGCACTTGAGAAGCTAAAATCAGGTATAATGTTGTTCATATTCCTTTTTTTTTATATATATATTTTTTTTTTACTTTTTTTTTTTTGCTGGTATATCTATATACTTCATAAATTGATCCTTTTAAAGATTATTATTATTTTGGTCTCAGAGTTGATGCTTTTAGGATTTATATCACTTTTTCTGACGGTAACACAAGAATACATAGCCAAAATTTGCATACCTACCAGCGCGGGAGATACTATGCTTCCATGTCGCAAACAAGATGCTAATTCAGATTCAGCCGAACTCAATCATTTTGTTAAGAAATTTTCACACACGATCAGGCAATTACTGGCCGAGGAGGAGGATAGTACTGAAGATGGTGATTCTTGCACTGCCAAAGTAAGTTTCTTAAATTTTTTTTTTTTTTTTTTTAAATTAGAGGGAAAAAAATGAAAATATTTAAATGGGCATGCTTGATATTTTGGGTTAATTTTATTTGAGATGAAATTTTGCAGGGAAAAGTTGCACTAATATCTGAAGATGGGATTCATCAGCTTCATATTTTTATCTTTGTGTTGGCGTTGATGCAAATTGTTTATAGCACTCTAACAATGGGTTTGGGCAGGGCTAAGGTAAGTAATGTGCTTCAATGAATATTAGTTTGAATCTTTATGTATATGGGTTCGGAGTTCTTTTTCCTGAGTTATTGTTGAAAATTTGAACCGAAATTTAAATTTTTATAAAAAAAATTATAATAAAAAGGTTGAATTGCGATTCAAACTTGGGAAGGAAACGTGGATTATTCATAATGTTATCATTAATACGTTTGTGGTCACCTTTAAAATTGTTTTTTTTTTTTTCCTTCAATTTCTATTTCATTTGCGTAGATGAGGCGCTGGAAAGTTTGGGAGAAAGAGACACAAACAACAGAATACATAGTTGCCAATGGTGAGTTATTTATAATTATATATAATATATTATCTAATAATACCTTAATTGTAGGCTTAAGGTTTTAAATTTTGTTTTCTTCACCGTTAGAAATGTGGCAGTTTCCTTTTAGTTCTCAGCAAATATTAAATCAACTTAAGCCGTGTCAACCACTCAAACGGGATGCAGAAAAAATCAAAATTAAAAATTTTTTTTAAAAAAAAAGGAAAAGGGACTGGGATTTTTCTGAAGGCCAAAAAGTAATCTTTTTTTTTTTTTTTCCTTTTCTTATAATTGATTAATTGTTCAAAAAAGAAAAGGGTCTTTGGAAGACGATATCCCTAAGTTTGACGTAAGGTGTATGAACGCTCTAGATATTTTAGATGCAATTAATATGAGTCTTAATTGGGGTGCTCTTACTATTATTAGTGTTATTATTCTTAAGGGAAAATTTTATATTAACGCTCTATGTTTTAGTATAATTATCTTTTAGTATTATGTATTTTTAGTAATTTTAAATTTATATTTTAATATTTTAGAAAATCATTTTTAGTACCTTGAGATCATCTTAAAAGATATAAAATATCTAATTTACTATTCTCATTACTTTACTAAAACCTAATAAAATTAGAAAAGATTCTAAAAAATTATTTTTAATTTAAAGCATTATTTTTATTTTTTATTTTTAAATGTTTAAAATATTTTTAGAATTTTTCTAAATTTATTATTAATTTTTTGGTTAATTAATGAGAAGAGTAACTTTAACATTTTATATTCTAAAAAATAACCTTAAAGTGCTAAAAATGATTTTTTAAAACGTCGAAGTACCAATTTAAAATTACTAAAAACACAGTATTAAAAGATAATTATTTTAAAACATGGGATAATAATATGAAATTTTCCCTATTATTAATTATTAGTTTGAAGAAATCATATTGAAAAAGTTATTGAATTAGAGAGTATAACAAACTATTATTAAATTGTCAATGTAGATTGGAGACTACTTTTGTTGCATTAATTGGTATTGGAAAACTGGGACAAGCAACCTATATTGAAGGACCACAATTTTCAACTGGTTCACAATACTTTGACTTTTGGAATCAGAAATATGGGCCATGTTTGATATATACTGTTTGATGTTCATATCAGATTAGCTAGAATTCAAAATTTTTTTTTCCTTCTCTATTTCCTTCTTTTTAAACTTTTTTTTTTTAATTTTTGGTTTCGCAGATCCAAATAGATTCAGATTTACAAGGCAAACAACGTTTGGAAGACGGCACATGAACAATTTCACAGAAACAGTAGTTCATTTGTGGATTGTGGGTTCATTCATCACTTTTTTTTTTAAAAAAAAAGCTTGTAGTTTTTCTTATTTATTTATTTATTTATTTATTTCATGCATGAAGAAAACATTACAGACAAGATATATTTTATTTTATTTTGTTTTTTTTTATTTGAGCAGAAAAGTTTCTTCAGGCAGTTCTACAAATCAGTAGCAAAAGTTGATTATCTCACCTTGAGGCACGGTTTCATTGCGGTATAACAAACTTAACCTGAAATTAATTAAAGGAAGTATCTAATTAATTAGTATTGATATACAATTTTTGTTGGAACTAAAACTGCTTAATTAATTGCTTAATTAAATTTTCAGGCGCACTTTTCAGGCAGGCATAACAGCTTCAATTTCCAACAATACATACAAAGATCCTTAGAGGAGGATTTCAGTGTTGTGGTTGGCGTCAGGTTGTTTATTCTTCATAATGCATGTTCTTATTAGCACTAATTAAATCATATTTTGCTTTGCACACGTACGAGGCCATAAAAACCATGTCTATAAGTTATAACAATCATTATGAAACTAAATTAAGTAAATAGCAGATTTTAAAATATTTAAAATAAATACCAATAAAAGATTTTTTACTGCAAATTTTTTTATTTACCACTTTCCACAAGTTATGATGTTATTTCCATAAGTTATCGTGCTTAATACCAGGGTGCTCCCAAACATTTTTCTTATCAAATATATATTTTTCAATAGAATTGATTACTAGTCCCTACTAATTAAGTAATTATAATATAAATAAGTTTATCTGATGTTTAATTGTTCAACAGCCCTCTGATGTGGTTCCTAGTTGTTATCCTATTGCTAGTGGACGTGCACGGTGAGGAAGATTTTTATTTGGTATTTTTTACTTGTTTCAAATATATACATATATATATATATATATTTCTTAGAAGATTAATTTTGATGGGATTTGTTTTGAGTTAATTTTCAGATTGGTATGTCTATAGCTGGCTGTCCTTCGTTCCATTGTTGGTAAGTAATTGTGGTCTAGCTAGTAAAGTTTTGTGCCTTAAAATTTCCTTTTTTTTTTTTTTTTTTTTTTTTTTTTAAATGCCCGTGATCTGTTTCTTAAACTCAAAAAAAAAAAAAAAAAAAATCTTCCTTTGGTTTCCTTTCCGTGAGTTGATTATTAGCTGCCTTAAAATTTCCTTTTTTTTTTTTTTTTTTTTTTTTTAAATGACCTTAAAATTTCCTTTTATTTCCACACTAAATTGCTTTTGAACTTTCATTGTTTAGATTTCTCTGGCCATTGGAAGCAAACTTGGAGTAATTGTGGCAAGAATGGCTCTTCAAATAAAAGACCAAAACAATGTCATAATTGGAACCCCTCTTGTCAAACCAAATGATGATCTCTTTTGGTTTGGAAAGCCAAAATTCGTCTTAACGCTTATTCACTACATTCTCTTTGTGGTAAATATATTGTCCTTTCTCCATTTAAGAAAATTAAGTAAATATTGTAACATTATTAGTATAACTAATAGCGTTTTATTTGATATTTCTTTAGAATGCTTATGAGGTCGCTTTCGTCATCTGGGTTATAGTAAGTTCTCTATCTTAGATGTTATTTTCGTACCTATGGACTTCTAACACCGAATTTTGGCTTTAAAATCCTCTGTTAGAGTGATTCTAACACAAGATTCAGAATTGAACCAGAAAAACTCAAATCAAGAACACAAAAGTTTTATCGAGGTTCGGATAAAAACTATCCTACGTCCTCGCGAGCTCCTTCACAAGAACTCGACCCACTAGATTGAAGAATGAATACACCCTGAAGAACTCTCAATTATAGAACTCACAGACTCAAGCTTCGAAACAATTACAAAGACAAATCTCAGTGTTTCCCAGAAAGAATACCCAGTGAGTAAATCCCAACATACCCAGATTCTCTCAATACCCAGAACACTGAAAAATTCCCCTCAATCTCTCTTGAGAACAAATTGTTTCTCTCACTACAATCTTTTAGTCTCTCTCTCTAACTCTGTAATTTCTAGGAAGGCTAAAGAAGAAAACGACTTGGTCTTCTATTCTAGATATATATATTATGTCCTTCAAAAGTTGGTGCACACGTGGATTCATCTTGGCCATCTGTCTTTGATGCAATATGATGACTCAGCAAGTAAAACTTTGCGTTTTACTCTAAGTGGTTGAGAACAACAAAGCTGCTTGTCATTTATGCCTTGAGGGTGTCGTTTCTTCTTCAATGTAATGTTTATATCTGGAATTACTTCAACAAACTCCACCTTAATTTCAGATATGAACATCTTGAGAAACTTCGAGGATCTTGTGAACTCATTGCTCGACCAAACTATTTCTACGTTTGGCCTACATTCAGCAATTCCAGACATTTCTGGAATTTGCTGAATGTCACTACCTTTGTTCCCATGTCAGATGGATTGACTTCCGTATTGATCTTCTCTAACTCGATCACCCCTTCTTCAACTTTCTCTCTGAGGAAGTGATGTCTAACATCTATGTGTTTAGTCTTCTCATGGTAGACTGGATTCTTGCAGAGATGTATCGCTGATTGGCTATCTGAATGAATCATTGCAGGATGCTTTAAAACTTTAAGCTCCTTTAATAATCCCTGTAACCATATTGCTTCTTTAAATCCTTCTGTCCCTGCAATATATTCAGCCTCAGTGCTTGATAGAGCCACCACTGGTTGTAACTGAGACTTCCAACTTATGCAATTTCCACCAAGGGTCATCATATATGCTGATGTTGATCTTCTTTTATCCCTGTCACCTGCAAAATCAGAATCTACAAAACCATCCAAAGTAAGGTAGTTAGATCTGAAAACATAATTTAGACCATAATTCAATGTACTGTTGACATATTTAAGAAGCCATTTCATGGCTAACCAATGTTCTTGACCCGGGTTAGACATGTATTTACTTAACACGCTAACTGCATAGGCCAAATCAGGCCTAGTGCAAATCATAGCATACATAAGTGAACCAACAGCACTTGAATATGGAATTTTTTGCATCTGTAACTTTTCTTCTTCTGTTGTTGGTGACTGATCAGCTGATAGTTTAAAATGGCCTGCAATTGGTATTCTCACAGGTTTAGCTTGATCCATTGCAAACTTCTGAACGACCTTCCTCAAATAGGCCTCTTGAGACAAACATAGCTTCTTCTGTTTTCTATCTCTTTTGATGTCTATCCCTAAAATTCTAACTGCTTTACCCAAGTCCTTCATGTCAAATTCATAACTAAGCATCTTCTTTACTTGGGTTACAATGCTCAGATCATTACTTGTAAGGAGCATGTCGTCAACGTATAGAAGCAAGTACACTGCCTTGTTTGTTCCTGTGTCTTTGTGGTATAGGCATGAATCATAGTCACTTCTTTTAAAACCAGCTGCAGTCACATAATGGTCAAATTTCTTATACCATTGTCTAGGTGACTGTTTGAGGCCATAGAGTGCCTTCTTAAGTAAGCAGACCTTGTCCTTGCCTCCCTTTTCTTCAAACCCCGGTGGTTGAACCATATAAATGGTTTCTGCGAGGTCTCCATGTAAAAAAGCTGTTTTTACATCCATTTGTTCGAGTTCCCAGTCAAATTGAGTCACCAAAGCCAAGATAGTCCTTATTGTCTTATATTTCACTACAGGTGAGAAAACCTCTGTGTAGTCAATCCCCCAAACCTGTGTGAATCCTTTCGCCACCAACCTTGCCTTATACCTCTTGGGATCTCCTGGTTGCATTCCCTCTTTAATCTTAAAAATTCACTTGCAATCAACTGATTTTTGTTTCTTTGGTTGATTGACCAAAACCCAAGTGTTGTTTTTCCTTAAAGAGGACATTTCCTCTTCCATTGCAGCCTTCCACTCCTTTGACTTTGGACAAGAAATAGCCTCTGCATAGGTCTTTGGTTCTGTACATTCAAGTTCCTCTGCAGCGTTTAATGCAAAGGCTATCATATTTCCCCCTTCATATCTTTTAGGAGGTTTAATTGTTCTCCTTTGCCTGTCCCTTGTGAGTTGGTACTGATCTAGGCTCTCTGTTGTATTTATAATGTGCTGCTGTACAATTTCTGGATTGCTTGAGGTTTCTTGAGTAGTATGCTCAGTTTGTTGAGGTGTATGATCAATGTCTGCCATATGAGTCGGTTCCTAATCTTCTGTATTACTCTCCACCTCAAACGGAAGAGTCTGAATTGTTGTGGAATCTGCACATGTATTAGAAGTGGAATTAGCAGTATCTTATTCCTTATTAAGGTAAGGCATTTCAAGCTCACTGAATACCACATCTCGGCTAATTAAAATTTTAAAATGAGGACCATTTTTTACACATAGTCTATACCCTTTGACCCCATCAGGATAGCCTAGAAAAATGCACTTTATTGATCTGGGGTCTAATTTTCCTTCTCTTTGATGTGCATAAGCAGCACATCCAAAGATCCTAAGGTTGCTTAAGTTTGGTGGTTTTCTTGTCCAACATTCTTCGGGTGTTTTTAATCCTATAGGTTTGCATGGGCATCTATTTATGAGATAACAAGCAGTGCTTGCAGCCTCACCCCAGAATTGTTTAGGTAAGCCAGCCCCAAATAACATACACCTAACCCTTTCCATAATAGTTCTATTCATTCTCTCGGCTATCCCATTTTGTTGTGGGGTCTTTTTTACAGTCCTATGCCTAAGAATGCCTTTCTCCTTGCAATACTCAGTGAAAACTTCATGGCAAAACTCCATTCCATTATCAGTTCTAAGGGCCTTCAATTTCTTATCCATTTGGTTTTCAATTAGGGTATTCCATTGTTTGAACCTATTAAAACATTCATCCTTAGACTTTAGTAAATAGATCCAAACTTTTCTTGAGAAATCATCTACTATGGAAAGAAAATACCTGGCTCCACCGTGGGTTAGAGTCCTTTCTGGTCCCCACAAATCAGCATGAACATACTCTAAAGGCTCTTTGGCTCTGAAGTTGGATGTTGTGAACTTTAGTCTATGTTGCTTGCCAAAAATACATTGTTCACAAAAATCCAAGTGAGTGACCTTGTCATTTCCAAGTAGTCCCTGCCTGTTGAGTTCTTGAAGACCCTTTTCACTAACATGCCCCAGTCTTCTATGCCATTTCGTGGCTCCCAAATTCTGCCGTACAACAGTGCTTACTGAACCTGTAGCGACCCTCCTTTGAGGCCGCCACTGTAACTAACTTTTTAACTTGTACTTACTGAAATTTCTTAAAATTTACGGAACATTTTTTTTTTTTAAGGGTCTTATTATAAACATAAATTACGAAATTGCTTTCTTAATTAAAATATTCAAACCTTAACATATCTGTTTCATAATCATAATTAACAAAACTATTTGTAACATAAAGCTGATTGCGGAAATATTTGCGAGTGTTATCCATATCCCAAGCCCCACATCGTTCGTCTACTCGCCAGCAGTCCATCAAGCATTATATGCCGGTTGCTTACCTACAGTATAAACATTCTATAAT